CTTTGTTCTCGATTATCTTCCATTTATAGTAGTTGCCCACAACGAACTTTTGTTTGCCGGCATCCTCAGCAGTGTACTTTGTCACCAGGGACTCCCATATCTTACAAGCTTCCTTGTAGACACAGTAGACATCGAACAAATCATTAGATAAAGTGCTAATGATAGTGTGTCGGCATACCTTATTTGCATGAGTCCATGCAACTCTCTGGGCTTGATCAGTATCAGCAGGAGGCTCGGATTGAGCAAGAGCAGCCGCCACACCATGCATGTCAAGAACGGTGAAGATACGTTCTTGCCAGCGTTTGAAGTTCCGGCTATCAAAGACTTCTATCTTCGATATGTCCGGGAACGGCCTCGGTAGGGGGACGGCAACAACGGCAGGGACGTACTGACCTCCAACCGAACCACTGGGCACACCTTCGGGGGTGACATTCTCAGCACCGTTGGTCGCCATTGGGTTGACTAGTTCTTAAGATTGTTGGTGGCACCGGCAGAAACGTGAACAGCGAGATACGAATTGCTCGAGTCATGCCAGGAAGGACACTGTCCTTAAGAACTATTCCGGCACACCTTCGGACGACCGACAGTTTCCCAGGATTAAACAAGCACCTCCTTGGTGGAACAAGGGAACAGAACAATGGAGACTAAGCACAGACGAACTGAACGTTGAGGGAGGAGAGAACTCAAGAGGCTTGTTAAACTCTGTCTGCACACATGGCTATATATAGCTAAAGGTGGACATGAACGTTGGGGGGTTACCACCGGATTAAAGGCTCGATTACACTGCCATAAAAATCGTTTAAAAGCTTGTCTAGAAACGTTGGGGTTACACAAACGTAAAATGCATTTAACCTCCTGTCTGGAAACTTTAGACAAACGTAAAACGTTGGGAAGAAAAAACGTTTTATTTATTTTGTAAAAATAATTCGGTAAAAAGAACCCATTATCTCTTGGGACTCGCGGGAAAGGGGGCGAATTGGCTGATTTCAACTATAATTGCCCTAAGTTGGCCTGTCTCCTCTTCCAAGCCTATTTTACTAACCCACTTCATTCCTTAATATATATACACTAGGAGAGTCTTTCTTTTAATCAATGTGGGACTTTGACACACACACATTTTGACACACATACAACGTTATCAACCCACCCAATCATGAGAGAGGGTAGATTGCAAAAGGTGGTAACCCGGCCCTTGGTTTGTTTCTTGTACAGTTTTGTTATTGATTATCAATAGCTCTTATCTCCATTAAAAAAAAAAAAAAACACGGAGGGAATGTTTTGTTTATGCGCTGACTCTTTAGAAGGAAGAAACTTGCCACGGAACATCCATTTGAATACAATTGTTTATTTGGAAAATCGAGGAAGAAACTATTCATGTGACTTTTGTTCTGCGCCTCTCAATTCCAGTCTTGTGGTTTGTGATGATATGAGGAAACAGCATATCATATTTCCTTTTAACTAAGCGATACAGCATGGCTTTTCCACTGCCTTAATTGCGCATTAATTGTTGGATTGAGCAATTTATGAAGTTAACGTCTCAACCGAAAATCATCAGCGCACCTGCCAGTGCTTTCTTTATATTTAATATGTTAACATTAAAAAATGGTTTTTCATTATTTAAAAGTTCAAGTAGAAATTTTTTGTTGGTAAAATTAATGGTGTTAGAATTATAAGAGTAGAAATACACATTATAAAATTAAACAATTAAAATGAAAACTTGTATACTTTTGCCTAATTTTATTATCCTATCTATGTTAATAAATTTTAATAGTATTGTCTGTTATTTAAATAATAAGGATCAAATTCAAATTGATAAAATTTAAATTTAAAGGATTAAATTGATAATTAAAATAAATTGGATGAACTAAAAGTTTTATTATTCCTTAATTTGATTGCATAAAAGTATATTAAATATATAAGATTAAATGTGTAAGTCTTACCCTCCATAAATTTAACCTCTCAACTGAAACACATAATGAATGGAAAAGGAGAAAATTAGACATAACGGCTCTAAATATTTTCATTGCCCCTTTCAAAAAATTACAATAGCCCCCTCTTTCAAAAGAAAAAAAATCATTTGCTCCATTAAAAAGTTTATTTAACTCAAAGGATGAATCTACAAATTTAGTAATGAACTATTTTTTAAAAAGTATTTGATAACCTATAGGGTGTTGTAAAATAAAAGAAGAATGACAAAGAGGTCCCAAAGAATCAATTAATTTAAATTAAGTCTCAGGTGCTAAATTTTAAAAATTCACAACTCAATTTTTTAATTTTATAATTCCATTGTGATGAATTTACAACTTATTTTGTAAATTTGAATTCCTAAAATTTAATACTTAAAATTTAAACTAATTAATCTTTTTGATGCTTCTCTATCATTCTCTCTAAAATAAATAATAAACTATAAAAAATGGAGCACTTAATACTTTTCCATTAATGTGAGTAACATTCATTTATTTGTGATGGTCCCCCCACTGGTTCAAGCAATTCATGTTATGAGGTCTGGTGAGTTCTCTTGTTTCTGCAACAGGACCACTGTTATTCTCACAAGCTCCAAATATACCATCAGCATCCAAAGGTGCTAGTTGTTTCTCTTCAGTCCCTGTAACAACATTCTTTTCTAATCCCTTCTTGAACCAAGAATCCGAGATCTTTCCATAATTTTGGTCATTGATATCCGGTTGTTTGGATTAGGATCCAAGATTTTGGACAACAGCCTGCGCATATCTGGTGCAAACCAGTTAGGAAATTCCCATTTTCATCTAATGATAGTATATAGATTTTCTGGTTTCACATCCGGAGTATAGCTAAAAAATTTTGTTAGAAGGCTGAAATAACAAAACATATATGATAATCAAAAAGAAATTAAATCTATACATACATACATATATATATATATATATATATCACTAATATAATATAAATATTTCAATTTGTATATTTATATTCAACTTTACATATAATATATGTGTGTGTGTATTTATTTTTTAAGTTTTGTCATTAATTTTTTATTGTATAAGAATAATTAATTATTATGTTTATGATAAAATTTTTAAAAATTTTCTTTTTAATATAAACTATCATTAAATTTGCTAAAATTTCATCTTGCTCATAAGCATTGAATTTTTTCAATGCATCATTGAGATCTAAAATTTTATTTAATATAAAAAACTCTATCACTTATTTGTTGAGTTTATTATTTAATTTTTTTAATTAATAAATTCTTCATTCAATATATTTTGAAAATTTTATTGCAATGCTTTATAAAATTTGTTAGTAATAGTTTTCATAATTTTTTTTATCAAATGAAAGAAAAATCAAATGATATTAATACTTTTAGAGCAATTATAATATTATTTTATTAAAAATAAGTAGATTTTATGACAACTATATTTTTAAGCTATTATAATAATTGTATTATACATATATAAAAGACTAATGTAAAATTGAAATGAAAATTTTATCTAACATATTAAAATTTTTATAATATGTCAACTTAAAATAATTGATAATATATAACCTCTATATTTTATTAAAAAAATTAAAAAAATTAGGAAGGGCCATGACACTTTTGATCCCCTCTATGCTCAGCCCTGTTCAGATTTGATGACGCACTCCGACGCAAATAATGAAGTTTTGATGGTAGACTAGGGGGAGAGGGTGATGTGATGAGTGTAGGCCTCAATAGACGGACGTTACTTACATGGATGAAAAGGTGCTAGTTGTCTCGTTATTTATAATTTATAATTTATTTTGCATTATTTATAATATAAATTATTAAATATTTTTAAAAAGTAGTTTATAATTAAATTTGTGCTTTTGCCAAACCAAAATCATATCTGTGGAATATTAAATTTCAATAGTTTGACGTCGAGTAATTAACAACTTCAAAAACATTTTCTTAATTGTTTCTTTACTATTACAAAACGGATAAATAAATTTTATTTAATAAAGAACAAAAAATAATGACTGTAAAAATTACAGGCCTTGTTATTTAGTTTTTAATTTTAATAAATGTTTACCTCTAATATAATTTAATAAATCTTTAAAATTATTTTTTTAAAAAATCAATATTTTGAGTAAAAATTTTGTTCCCCTGTCTAATTTTTCTAGGTCTGTCACTGTTCATACTAGAGGGCATTTGGTTTTCCCATGACATGAACTGCATCAATGTATATTACATTTTTTTACAAGCATCAATATATATTACTTTAATCCTCATCAAGAAACATCATCAGCGGTTTTACATATGACGGCTGTATTTTGGATATCCAGTAAAAATGGTCTAATGTGAGAACAATTTTGATCACGCAAGAATAGTGTATTGGGGCATTTCAAATGTCTGCTACAACTTTTGATGAATTCAATAATGAAGTCAGGACTCTGATGGTAGATTTATTTTAAATATTTAAAATTAAACAAATAATTTAACAATTAATATTTATAAATAATTACATACTTGATAAATTTTTTCATTGATTTTTTTAAATGTTTTTGGAATAATTGAAAAATTACATTTAAAAATAAATTAAAAAAATTTTAAGAAATTATTGAAAAATTGACTTGTCATTTAAAATTTATATAAGTTTTTTTTTGATCAAAGAAAAATTTATATAAGTTTAAAGTTATCAAATGTGAAAAAGATCGGGGGGGCAAAATATACAGGTTTAGGTGTGTTCATGAGGTTCGGTTGCCTATTAGAACCCGATGAAATTTTGCCCGGTTCAACCCCTGAAAAAAAAAAAAAAAAACCATTCGATGTAGTTTAGGCATGTTTGGGTAGGGCTGATGTTTGATAGGGCCACGTTACGTGTGAGGAATACTGCCATGGCTTTTCGGCCCCGCCTGATATACATGTTGTGCATGTGTGTGTATACTTTTTTTAATTTTGTTTTGTTTTGTTTTTTAAAGGCAGAGGTAAGGAGGGAGATTTTTATCATTTTACCTTTTACTGAGGTTAACCTTTTGGGTTTACACTTTACACCCTCCTAGCCGGCTAGCCGTAACGTTCCCATTCCAGTCTCTCGCCTCTCAGTCTCGACACGCTCCTCCCCTCTCCTCTCTCGCTCTCGGCAGTCGGCGCCTCTTCCATTCCCGTCGCATCTTCACTCCGATTGCCATCATTCTCGTCGCACACACTCTCCTTCGCCGCCGTCTCGTGCTCTTGCTCGGCTTTGTTTGCTCGTCTCGTGCTCGTTGCCGTGTTCGACTGGTCGCTCGTCTCTGTCTCTTGCTCGTTGCTGTGTTGCCGTGTTCGACTGGTCGTTCATCTCTGTCTCTTGCTCGTCTGTGTTGCCGTGCTTGTCTCTGTCTCTTGTTCAGTTTTAAGTTCGCGGCTGGCCAGGTTTTTTCATTTGTTCTTCATTCTTTATTGTTGTTAGTTGATCATTTGTGCTTTCTGAGTTTCTTCGTCATTCTTTTTAACTTATCTGTTCTTGTTTGTCTCTGCATGTTGTTGCTGGAGCTAGAGAAGCATTACTTTGTAGAGTTTGTTCTTCTTCATTCTTTAATTCTTTAATTTGTGTTTTTTGTTAAATAAAGAATGTGTTTCTATGTTGTGATGAAATCATACTTTAGGTCTAATTTTCAACTCCCTCCTATTTGGATTTATGCTCACAACAGTCAGTGGAAGCAGATTATTTAGCTCTTCCGTGCAAGTTAAGAATCAGTTAAAGCTAGGAGATGTGAACCGCAAAGTTCTTAAGAGATTAGTACATTAGAATTTTTGTTTGATGGCTTTAGCATCGAACTACATTAATATTTGAAATTATTGATTCTTTTCTTAATATTTAGCCCTACCCCTTAGCCCTAGGTCTCTGCACTAACCATTTGCCCAGAAAATTATTTTTGCAAATTCACAACAATTTATCATTAAATTTTTAGGAATGTCATGCTTCCTGTGCCATTGATTGTGTCTGGATAATTGCTAGTTAGTTTCATTTTTCTTCTCCTGATCTAATCTGTTATGTGACTTGACTCGATCATGTATTACTTTTTGTCAGTTTCATCATTCAACTTGATCATCCTAATATTTTGTCTGGCACCAATTGACCATGTCCTTGTCAAGCTTTTGCTGTCACTATCAGGCCTAGTTGTATCCGACTGTCACCTTTATAGTGTACCTAATTATTAACATTGACTACCTCTCCATTTTGTCCAGCCTGGTGTCACATTCATGTTCTACCTCAGTAGAATTGAGCACACATTGCGCTTACCGCCGCATCTTCTTAGCCTTCCAATTCAGGAGTCTATACATAAGGAGCTTGAGAAACTTTTCTTGGATAAGGTTTGATGGGCTGCCATTTTGATTTTCACTTATGAACTGCATTTGTGTAGTTTAATTTATTAAATTTTCAATGCTGATATGGTTGTCTGTGATGATGAAGGTTATTGCAAATTTGGGGCTGTGCATTTCTGTATATGACATTAGATCTATTGAGGGCGGGTTTATCTTCCCTGGTGATGGTGCTGCGACCTATACGGTATATGTTCTTAACTTAAGAACTCCACGTTTGGCCTTGAGCTTTTCATTTTATGCTATAGGTTTAGGTCTTGGTGGTGCATCAAGTTTGTTGTTGGATTGATATTTAGTAAATGATAGCCTGTGCTGATTATTTTGGGCTTACATAAGCATTACGAGGATAGGGAAAAAAAAAAACTGATGTTCAAAAGACAATCAAAATAATACTTTTATATGCAATTAGTTGATAAAAGAAATTAGTTTTTTATGATGTGTTGACTTTGTTCTGATTTTTTGCAGGTTCTGTTTACTTTAATCATGTTCCGTCCATTTGTGGGAGAAATCATTACTGCAAAATTGCTAACTTCTGATGCTGATGGTTTACGCTGTATGCCCAAGATTTTCCTCTATTTCTTCATGGCAATTTTCACCTTAATTGCATGGTTTATTTGTTCTCCAATTTCCTCATTTTTTTTCTCTAGATGCACGCTTCTTTAATTTATATTTTTGCAGAGCAATTTTCACTTCTAACTTGCTCACTCCGGTTAATAACAAAATACAAATGTTATTATTGCTAACCTATCTAGTGGGTACAAAGTACGATATTTGTTTTCATTCTCTTACTCCATCAGCAATCCCTTTCTAAATATGGCATGTTTCTGGCGGGTGATGACTTTTATATAATCTTCACTCTAGCAAAATAAGGTTTTTGTCCTCAACTTCTTCCGTGATATCTGTGATATTTCTTTATTTCTTTATTTGTCAGAGTATAAAAAGATTCTGAATTTAAAAAGAGTGAGTTCTTGTGTGGTTGAAATTCCAGAAGAGTGTCAAAGGCAATAATTAAAATAAGCCTTTGTGTTAAATTAGATCAAATCTAATGTCTATTTTTCCTTCTTTATTTACTTTTTTGCATATCTGACACCTTCAATGTTTCTCACATCATGTAGCTCCTTTTTTTCAAATGTTTGAATCATGTTATTATTTCTGATTGTTCAATGGTCAGTTATTTATTAATAATTCATTCCCAGTTGTAATGTTAACCTCTGTTTGACAGTATCACTTGGATTCTTCGATGACATTTATGTACCAGTGCATCATATGCCCAATCCATCCCATTTTGAGGGTGAAGCAAAAAATAGGTGATGTTGCTTACACAGTTTATCTAAATTTTGAGATGACCTTTAGACCTACTGTGATACGGTGCTTTCAAATAGTCTTCTGTTTTGTTGAGATTAATTCACCTTTTAATCTGAATTTTGAATGCCATACTTATCTGCTTCTATTCAAATTACAGCAATAAAGGCACGTGGTTTTGGGATTTTAATGAACAATCATATCCTATTGATGATACTGACGAGGTTCACTTCTTTCTACTATAATATTCTTTCAACTAAATGCTTGGAATGTAAGAATATGCTAATTGCGAGTTGCAATATCACAGGTCAAATTCCAAGTTCAAAATGTGAGTTACCCTTCAATTCCAGTAGAGCAGCCAAAAGAATCAAAGCCATTTGCCCCTATGGTGGTTACTGTAAGTATTTTATTTAACTTTTATAGTAAGTAACGATAATGATTGATTGATGGAGAAGGGGGGGGGGGGGAAGAGAGAGATATACTGTCTTTGTTTAGACATTTTTTTGCCTTTCTATACGTGGAGTTGTTGGCATATAATTCCCTCTTAGGCTAGCACTTCGGAAAAGGAATACCTTTCCGTTGCATGACAATTTAGATGTGAGATATATATTATATTTCTTTATTACTTAATAACAGCTATTTCTTGTTCTAATAATTTTTATTTATGAACACATCTGACGTTTTATAATTTAGAAGTTACTTTTTCTTTTTAATTTGATTCCATTTCTTCATTACTTTTCGTTTTGCAAACCAAACGAGTTTGAGACAACCTTGGAGAAAGAAAAATTTATAATTTGATGGAGGCTTGGTAGTATGGGATACCAAGTCTCACATTAGGCGGTTTGCGATGCTCCATGGGGTATTTAAATGGGCTGCTTCTCTCACTTCAATAGCCAACTGTTGGGGCAGGTTTCCCCATTTCACATAGGTATATATCAATTAGTATTAGAGCCTCGCTGTCAGTAGTTCCGGAGAGGGTTACCCATAGAGGGTTATGATCGGCAGGAGGCTAAGTTAAGTGCCATGAAGTGCAGCCGTTGAGACATTAGCTTTCCATGGGGGGCCAATTGATGGAGACTTGATAATATGGGATATCTAGTCTGACATTAGGTAATATGGGATGTTCAATGAGATATTTAAGTGTGCTGGTTCTTCCAACTCAACAATTAGCTTTTGGGATAAGGTTCCTCATTCCACATGGGTACTCACCCGTCATAATTACTATTATCTATACTAGCATCTTGAATGCGCGAAAAGTTGTTTTGGCAAAGGCCTTAAATTCTACTAGCAATAAGAGCCATAGGGTAGGGCCCTCTTCGGCAATGCATGTTTTTGAGACTTGGAACTGTGACTTATTGCGTCTTTCATTATGGGAAGCATGGCTTATCAAGTTGTCTATTTTATAGGGTTCATTGGATCATGATGGGCTTGGCCCTGTTTCATGGTGGTATGAGACACAAGAAGTTGAGGACGAATAAACATCAGTTTAAAGCGCTGAAGGCGTCACCAGATGATGAGTTCATTACACGCTCCAAAATTTTGCTAGAAGTGAAGTGGTAGCTGCTTTATGTCAAAAGATTTCATTACTTTGAAAAGGTCTCGCCAAGTACTTCTTGCTTAGTTGTATCTCAACATTGGTGATATACCTTCGTCATTGTCTTTGCCTATAGAAGTATTCCCTTTTTTATATTTCATATGTTAGTTTCCTTGCTTGCATATTAAGCTTATCTGTGCTTTTGGTTCTTTTAGTAAATATTTTATTTTGATTCCATCTGATTAACCATCGTTGGCTACGAAGAGTTTATACTATTATACTTTGTTATTGATTCTCCAATCATACAATGTAATTTATTCGCCAAAGCTTCTTTTTTTTTTTTGTTTTTTTTTTTTTTTTTGAATTAGAGAATGAGGCACTAAAGGTCTAAAGTTATAAACAGGATTGAATGGAGAGCTTAGAATGCCACTAGGCTACAAGGCCATTGGCAAAGCTTCCTTCAAACACAACCAAGCTGCAACTTCCTGCAGAAATATGATCAGGACTTGCTGACACTGCTATTTAATCAAAGCATTAACCCACCTTTTAGATTTTCATTCAAACGAAGAAAATGATGGGAGAAAAAAAAAAAAAAAAGGTTACTGATTTCCCCACATACATGCTAGAGCAACAACTGTGGTACAGGAGGGGATAAAGTTGGATAGGGCCATCGTCTTATCCAACAATTGGTGCACGGCTTGACACATCTGTTCGAAAGAAGCTATCCAAACGAGTTCCATAGCACATCACCATGATAGTTAAAATCTCACAATCCGGCAGCCACACTAGACACCTGCTAATGCAGATGCAGGTCGAGTCAGAAAGGATAACAAGTATGAAGAACTCTACTGACAAATATTTAATATAGCTATATACACAAGGCTTGTATTGAGATTCTTGGTTAAATTAGCATAATCTCTTGAGCCATGCGGTCATTGGTTCAAACAACAGTATTTATTTGTGCATGATATGCTTTTGGGATAACAAATAAATTAAAATTTAATTTAAAGACTAAATTTTGTCACTATAGTGAATTTTTTGGTAAATAAGTGGTGGCACTTGTCAACTCACATGTGATATCATAGATCATGATAGAATGATCTGTTTGTTGTGGGGCTTACTTACTGATAGTTTTGTTTAATAATTAATATATTTAAACGGGTAGTTAGGGTTATTTTATTTTTTTTAAATCCACTACTTAAACATTCTCTAATTATAGATTTTCAAATGACACTTCAGCGTAGAAGCTGGCTCCCTTTTCATCTCCAAAATTTTACAATTAGCCATTGCATGATCCACAAAAGAACAAAAGAGAGAGAAAAACTAAGGTTGATATATTTGAATTTTTTTTAATGGATCTAAGTCATAACAACACAGTAAGATAACAAACCAATGATAAAATAATTTTAACAAGGAATGGTTTGGGTCCCTTAAGCATCACTTTAGGGTTCAATTCTTGGAGTGTGTATAGAAAAATATTATTTAGAAGAGGACAATTTTTTATATTTTGTTTGTTTGTTTTCTTGCTTGCATATTAAGCTTATATATGCTTTTGGTTCTTTAAGTAAATATTTTATTTTGATTCCATCTGATTAATCAACATTGGCTATGAAGAGTTTTTCTTGTTTATATTTTGTTATTGATTTTTCAATCATACAATGTAGTTTATTTGCCAAAGCTTCTTTCTTTCAACTTTCTTTTTTTCTTTTTGGTGGTTTTTGAATAAGAGAGGCAGGCACTAACGGCCTAAAATTACAAGCAGGATCAAACCAGCAACCTCAAACTTATGGCAGAGGTTATAATGCCATTAGGCTACAAGACCATTGACAAAGCTTCTTTCAAAGACGATCAAGCTGCAACTTTTCTGCCAAAATTTTCAGTGAAGAAATCTGAATGATCTAACCACAAATCATAAGGACTCACCGACACTGATATTTAATCAACCACTAGCCCCACCTTTGAGATTTTCATTGAAACGAAGAAAAGGACCAACAAAAAAAAAAAAAAGTTACTGATTTTCCCACATGCATGCTAGAGCAAGAAAAAAGCAATGTTTACTTCGCAATTATGTAAAATGAATTTAAAGTTGCCTTAACAGGAGAAAACAAATAGAACTAGAGGCCGCACGAACCCAACCAAAAGTTGCGCGCTGGAAATGCACATGGAAAAGCCAATATTGGTGGGTGTTGTGGAATTGAGCTTTGAGCTTTCCCTTATATTCTCTCTAAACTTAGCACCCAAGGTTGCTTTTTATGCTGTCTATTGTGCCGAAAGTGATTGGCTTTGACTTGGAAAGTTAGACCTTTTAGATTTAATGAATTGCAGGTTTTGCCATTCCTCTCCATGACTAGCTCTACGTTCCAAATTTTTCTGATACGAAAATCTAGCAGTGGCATTTCTGTGATTGTGTGGAAAATTAATGTGCCAATTCGGTATAAAATGTTCGGTATCTTTGCAACATAACAGGGCGCTGGCAAGATATTCTACGAGATAATTATTTCTCCATGCATACACGACACAAACCAGATGCCATGTGACCTCAAACACCAATATCATACTGTTAGGATGTGTGACTTGGCTTGACATGATATATAAAAAAAGTCACACATCAGTTTGAGAAGAGGTATCTAAGCAAAAAAGACTCACAAACTTAACATCTTAAGATTTTGTGTTAAGATATGTTGTCATACTTGCTTATATATGGCCCAACTGTACTTGAAAAATTTGGACAGTATGGGTTGTTTTAAGGGCAAAAAAAAAAAAAAAAAAAACAAGCAAACAAACAGAGACAGTGGTATGAAGAAAGGAATTATAAAACTAGTGGGGCATCATGAAAGCTTGCTTCATAAGGACCATCTTCAACATTCTCTTCATCTTCTTCCCTTTCCATCGATCTCTCTTTTCTCCTCAGAAAGCTTTCACAGAATCATCATAATCATCTTTTTCATATCTTCCCAAGACGTTGATGTCTCGCCTAAGACTGACAATGAAGCTTCAACCAGCAAAGAAGGCATGGAGGAGCTTCTCCAACAGAGTCCAATCCAAAGTCAATGAGCTCAACATTCGCAGAGTCATCAGAACCACAATTCAACGCCTGGTTTCCACCTTCCATTCTCTGCGTCACTTCATCTCCACCAAAACTTATCGTCGTCGTCATCGTTCTCTTCCCACTAGACCCTATTCTTATTATAACTGCTCCTCTTCTCAACACCATGTTCAGCGCAAGAACTTCAGCGTCATACGTATAGATGACCTTTTTGCAGAGCCCTCTTCTTCGTCGTTGTCTTCTTCTTTCTCTGCTTCTGGGTATGCGGCTAAAGGGGAAATGAGAAGCAGAGGCAAAGCGGAAATGGGAAATAAGGATTTGGGTAGAAAAGGGGAGAGCAGCAATGTGTTAGATACTATAGATGATGCATGGAAGGTTGTGGTGGCTAAGTCACCAAATTTGCAGGTGGATGAGAAAGCAGAAGTGTTCATCAAGAAGTTTCACCAAGACATTAAGCTTCAGAAAGAGAGGTCTTTGCTTGAATTCCAAGAGAGGCTGGCTCGCAGTACCTGAACAGATTAATTATCGGACAAAATTTAGGTATATAAGTTTTTTTTTTTTTGAAGTGTTTACTAAAGAATTTGATAACAGATACTGAAAAAATTCCACCTTCATTAATTCGACATATTGATTTGCAGGGGGTTTGGTTTTGGTTTTCTTTAATTTGGGTTCAATCTCTGAAAGAAAAAGTAACCATACAAAAACAAGGCTTTTGGAAAGAAGTGTGAAGATTATGTGTAGGCTTTTGTGAGATCTTTCTTTCTTTTTCCATTTTTGGGCCTTTTTCCATTCGTTGTTATTCTTTGTTGGCATACAGGAGAGAGAATTGTGCTGTGGTTTTCATTATCTTAACCTGATAAATAAATTGTGTATACAATGAAGGTGTAAGTGTATTGTTTGTGATCTCCTAGCAGTACCGTTTTGGTGTATTTTGAGTTGCAAGTGTGAAGATTAAGTGTATCGTTTGAGTTTTGGTTTTCTTCAATTTGGGTTCAGTCTCTGAAAGAAAAAGCAACCATATAAATACAAGGCTTTTGGAAAGAAGTGTGAAGATTATGTGTAGGAAAATTACTAGGCTTTTGTGAGATCTTTATTTCTTTTTCATTTTTGGGCCTTTTCCCATTTGTTGTTATTCGTTGTTGGCATACAGCAGAGAGAATTATGCTGTGGTTTTCAATGTCTTAATCTGATAAATAAATTGTGTATACAATGAAGTTGTAAGTGTATTGTTTGTGTTCTCCTAGCAGTACTGTTTTGGTGCACTTTGAATTTTAGATGAAGCATCAACCAAAATTGATCCAACAAAGACTGAATTAGATTATGCGAACAGGAATATTGTGGGGCAAAAAGCATATACTCACATGCTAACCCAAAATTACACTCCATTTGGTAAACAGTCAACTCGATATGGGTGAAAAAATAGCATTGAGATTGACAGTAAGATAAAATACACTAACTAAAATAAAAAAAATCAACAATATACTAAAGCATAATTTTTAATCCTTTACTCCATTGGAAATGGCTTTAGTTCAGATTCCAAATGGTAACTTACAGGCGTGAATAACAGTTTCATGCTAGAAATACAAGATTTACAACCATTCATTTATGCATTTAATCTCATCAACATGTAAGAAAATAAAAAACATTGCACAACAGGAGTGAAGTGCAAGTTTTAGCCTTCTCTGAAAAAGGTTTTTTTTCCCCCCCTTTCAGAAAACATTGCCATTGCAAATAATCAAAGTTTCAATTTATTGATATTCTTTATCAAAAAAATTATTGATAGTTTCAAATGGAATTGATAATAAGTTTGAGAAACTCGACACATAAATTTTATTTCATAAACAACATGACATTGAGAATATTTGTTTTCCTCTCTGTCATTTTTCTAACCTACTAATTATCCTTTTTATGTCTTTGTAATTCCTTTTTCTTTTCATTATAGGTTTTTAAAAACTTAATTAGTTAGCTCTTCTAATTCAAGTAATCTAAAATCTAGAAGCAAAAATAGATAGGTCTGTTAAAATCAATTATCGCTTCTTATTTTCATGATGCAATATATTGACGGGATGATTGTTCATGTAATGATATGGAAATGAAATATCAGAAATAAATCATACATTTTCTGTGCAAAGAAAAAAAAAAATTTCAAGGCACTTTCATATAGGACAGTGATTCCCACGAAGAAGACAAGGAAAACTCTACAGAAGGTGAACCCTTAAAATTTTAGGTACAATGACTAATGTAAAAAAATAGAGAGAAACTATAAAAAGCGTGTATATATATATATATATATATTGCATGAATGTGTAAACGAGAATTACAATCAAATTTGATGTTAAAAAAATGGGATAAAAGATGTTTTGTGTTCCGCTTTCAGCTTCTCTGTTAGTTTTTTTTTTTGGATGGCAAAGGAGTAGCAAAAGCTGCCTAAATAACATGCGAGGTGACCTTAGAAGACCAATCCTTATGAAGAATGGCTTTGCAAGTTCTTTGAAGGGTGTGAGAACCTTGTAACACCAGGAACGGCGCCAGGTCCTTGTTTTGCTAATCTGTCTGCAGCCATGTTGTGTTCACGTCTAACATGCTAAATTTTCACATCCCAATCGCGTCCCATGATTTGATGAGCCTCTTGGATGATGCCCAAATCATGATGTTCAGGGTTAGGTTCCTCAAGAAGAGCTTCCAAGGCATCCATGGAATCTGACTCAAGAATAACCTTTCTACAGCCAGCATCCCATGTAGATTTCAGTCCCAATAAACAAGCCCACAGTTCCGCTGTCATACTGTCTGCTTCCTGAAGACGACACACGAACCCAAAGATCAAGTGTCCTTCCTCATTCCGCAGCAGACCACCAGAGGCCGAACCCCTCCCTGTCGTGCTGGCAGCTCCATCCAAATTGAGTTTCAACCAACCCTTTTCTGGTGGAACCCATCCACTCTTGGTGCTTATTTCAACTTATTTACCAGTTGAGTGTCCCTAAGTTTGAGATGAGCTTCTATAGCAGCCTCCACCATAGCTCGAGCCTTAGGGATAATTTCATATAAACGAGTTTGTTTCCCTTTAAACACAAATATGTTTCTGCGATGCCAGAGATTCCAACAGATGATGGTGAACAGAGCGCTCCAGTCTGGTTGAACATTGTGCCAACGCTTCGAAATATTCAGCATGATCCAGTCTTTAAGACAAAATGCAACAAATCTCTGCCACATAGAAGACGGAACCAAAGAGCGCCAGAGGTCTTTATTGTGAACGCAGTCACGAAGAACATACAGAATCTTCAGATTTCTCCTTACAAAACGGACATTTGTCATCATTCCCAATACCACGTTTCTTTCTGACAGCATTAGTGAGGAGGCTTCCTCTAAAAGCTAGCCACAAGAACGTCTGACATCGCTATGGAACTTCAATTCTTCAGATATGACTCTACTTGTGTCCAGAATTTTGCTCGTTATGAGAAAGCATATTGTATGCAGATCTAACCGAGAAGATACCATCTTTTTCCCCTTTCCAGCTTATCACAGTACCATTATTCACTGTTCTAAACCAGCATTCACTTTATCTAAAGTCTTCTTGATTCTGGGCGTTTAGGATCAATTTTGGGAATTAAATCATCACCACAATGATATTTGTTTCTCAATACTTGAGCCCAAAACTCATCCTTCTTTTTGCAAAGATCCCATTCAAGTTTCACAAGAAAAGCCCGGTTCTAAAATTTTGCGTGTCTCAAGCCACGTCCACCTTGTTTCTTAGGTTCACACACCTCATCCCAAGCAACTAGATGAATCTTCCCCTGATCATTTGAGCTTCCCCATAAAAATTTGCAGTTTCATTGATCTAACACATCACAGGTGTTCAGGGGAAGGAAGAGGCTTTCATAACGTGACCTAGAATCGCAGAAGTCACCATAAAGATCAAAGTTGGGCGTCCTACTACAGATAACAAACTAGGTTGCCACCTAGAGAGGCGAGACTTGACTCTATCCGCAGTCTCTTGAAAAGTATCTTTGTTTACTCTTTTATGTACCAAAGGGACTCTAAGGTACTTACCCAAATCCATGGTGCGAGAGAATCCAAGATAATTATTGATTTGTGCACTCCTAGTATGATTAACATTATTAGAGAAAAACATGCAAGTTTTATCCGAGTTAACCTTGAGACTTGAGGCTTCACAAAACACATTGAGAGAAGATTTAATAAGCTTAGTTTGTTGGAGACTCGCCTTTGCAAATAAAATAATATCATCTACGAAGAAGAGATGAAAGATTAGGGGTTCAATTTTAGTTAGTCTGATTGTATTCCAATCACCTGAGTTGAGATTAGATTGAATAAGGTGGACTAATTTCTCCATACAAATAATAAACAAATAAGGAGACAAAAGGTCTCGTTGTCTGACTCCTTTAAAAGGATTAAGCCTCTCAGCTTTAGTGTTGTTCCAATGAATTTGCATATTAGATGTTCTAACAGTCGATAAAATGATATTGATAAGATTTTTTGAAAGCTACAACCCTTCTAAACAAATCTTCACAAAATTTCAATTCACTCAGTCATAGGTTTTTTCCAGATAAATTTTAATAGATATAAAGCCTTTCTTGCTTTGCATGTTTCTCATAGAATGAAAAACTTTCTGAGCAACAATAATATTTTCAGAACTATGTCACCCCGAAGTAAGGCTGCATTGATTTGGGCAAATAATATGAGGAAGAAAAGTAAGAAGTCTCTTGGAGACCACCTTCATAATAACTTTATATATCATGTTGCAGAGGCTAATAGGTCTCAAGTCACGAACAGTTTCTGGCGAGGTCTTCTTGGAGATGAGGACAATTAAAGTCTCATCAATATCTCGTATACTTGCTAGATGATCAAAACAAACTTCACTAACTCCACAATAGAAGGGCCAATAGTAGCCCATTGGTTTTGGAAAAAAGAGAGCATTTACACCATCAGGCTTGGGGGACTTTAAAGGGCCCATATCAAACACCGCTGATTTGATTTCAGCTTCTTGAACGCTCTGGATGAGCACCATCTTAAAGCATTTTCTTCAATAGGAGGATACGAGATATCACAAGAAATAGCTATCTGATCTTGCCTTTCTTTAACAAATAAAGTGGAGAAAAGATCGGTCGTCCTTTTTTAAAAGCCTCTTGGTCATAACACCATTCTTCATTGTCATCTCGGAGAGTTTCCACCTTATTGATCTTCTTTCTCTGGTTTGCGTAAGAGTGAAAGAATTTGGTATTTCAACCACCAAAAGCATGTCATGTTTTTTTAATTGAAAAAAGCATGTCATTTTAATTGTGCTTTCTGGGCCTAGAGTGAAGAATCTTGAATAATGACATCTTCTAACTCCTTCCGAAGTTGGAGTTGGAGCTTTTCAAAATAATCAACATAAAGCCCTCTCTACCAATGGGTCGTGAGATACCATCACGTCTTCTCATAAAGCCCTCTCTACCAATGGGTCGTGAGATACCATCAAGACGCTATAAATCGAAAAGGACATTCATCATGTATAGTATGGTTAGCATTGCACTTCAACAAAATGGGTTGGTGATCTGACCTAAAATTAAGAAGAAGAGTCACACTTGCATTTAAAAACAGACTAAGCCATTTTTCATTAGCCACAAAACGGTCAAGACACGCCTCTGATTGCCCACGCTTCCTGGTGAAAGGTGGTCCATCAAAAACAAAATGCACCAATAAAGATTCCTCAAGCCAGTCTCCAAACTCTCTATCGGGAGAGGTATGTGAATTTTCAAGAGAAACTCGTTCACTGCCCAGGACTGTAGCATTGAAATCACCCCCAACAATCCATGCTTCTTAATCAACTTGGCTTCTCAGGTAACTTAGCTCGTGCCAAAGTTCTCGCCGTTTAACAGCTGTGGGACTGGCGTAAATAACAGTCAGGAACTAGCTTTTATTCTCAAAGTTTTGCATTTTCAAATGCAAGGCCTGGTGATGACGAGAGACTACTTCAACTCTCTTAGAGACATTATCCTAAAGACACCAAATATCTCCACTATATCCCTCTGCATCCACAAAATCAAAACAAGAAAAGCCTAGAATTTTAATAAGCTCAAAAGCTTTTTTTGTTAGTGGCACGTGTTTTAACAATAGCTAAAAAGTCAAGATGATAGTGTTTTTTCAGGTCACGTACGAGGCTAGGAAATGACTTCGCACCTATACCATGAGAGTTCCATATCATACAATTCAATTCATGAGGAAACCTTAGAAGGAGTGCTTGCCCCT